TTATTTGGGATTAAAATCAGGCTAGAATGGTTATATCAAACAGTATACTTCATGGTATCAGACAGGCTAATTTCTAGCCAAGTTCGATAACATTATCTATATTTGAGTCAAAAAAACGCTAGAGCTTTGAATTTGATATTGGCAATCATATAGCAAACTGGGTTCGTAGGCGGATTTGGAGTTTGCACCAGAACCCCCTAATTCGCCTATATAGATATGCTTCCTCCTTTTCTACTGCAAAGCTCCTATATCTTCTAAATTTTAGCAATATGTACTAGAATAGCATTCCCATATTGAGTTTAAATCAGAAACTTCTAACAATGAAATTTTGTCTTTTTTACAGACTATAAGGATATTTATAACTATTCTCTATGAAGGGGAATGTAACTTGTTACTAACAATTTGGATTTTCAAAGAATTCATAAAATCACCTATCAATTATACCAGCCAATCAGAACTTGGGGTAAATTTGTAAAAGCAAAATTTCAATACCCATGTGTAAAAAAATATTATGCCGGGATGCATAAATGAACTATGCGTAAAAATCTAAATTTCCTTATTAATTTTGTTTAATAGTACACTAAATTTCATAAAGACCTGATTTGGTAAATTAAACCATAAGGACAGCAATTTACTAATAAAAAAAAAGCAAACTTTATTTTTATAAGTAATTTGATAGTCTTTAAACACTGATTGAATATTTGTGAAATTTGGTATATCAATTCTTCTTATGCATAAATAACCTTCTTTATTGTAGGTTAGGATTTTCAATGATCTGAAATTTACTATATGCTAGTTATGAATGTTTATCATGAAACATTTGGGTTTTATAATGGTTTTTAAAATGTTCATCAAACCTCATAAATTAATATAAATTATTGATCGAGCAGTTATAGTTAATGGGATAATAACTAATAATGTCAAAAAATCGGGTGATTCAATACTTTTATCGTCACTGTACCGTTAAGTGTCAAAGGTTAAACAATTAATTAATAAAAAATGAATTTCAATCCTGAACTCCACTTAATTGACAAATAAATAAATAAATATATTTATTTATGATTTTTATTTTCCATAAGAGCTATATTTTTAAATTTTCAAATAGTCTTAAATGTCGTATTATCGATCATCAAAAAAGTCTGGGTTTCGTAGTTAAGAAAAAATAAATATCGCGTATCCATATAAGTATCCTTAACTTAATCCAAATCAAAACCACTATGCAAGATAAACTGACTTGAATTTCATATTGTATTAAAGGTTCGAAATTTGCAATTGGGAACTTAACTACCATGTAGAGCTTCTTTCAAGACCTTTAACGCATGTTGTGCGGTCCCATGACTTGATTCATAACCTTTAAAGAGAAAAAATTATGTTAGATTTAAAAAAGGAAAGATGATTAATAATATTGAGGTGTATATCTCTCTTATTTACCAGAACCACCATGACCGTAATTATGACAAATGAGAATTTTTTTACCGAATTTTTCAGAAACTAAATCATAGGTTCGAGTGAGAAAAATGCAGACGTAATATATTCAATTAGAGGCTTTGTTCTATTAAAAATTGCACACATACTTGTCCATTCGGCCTCGATTCTTACGCCACCTTTACGACAAGGTCGAAGACCAACTCCGTGCCTCTTGATTGTTAGTTGAGTTTGGTCTTTTGGCAAGAGATCTGGACGAGTGGCTAGACATCGTTGAATAATTTCTTTAGCTGTGTTATAATCAATATCTGTCGAACTAATAATTGAAAACAGCTCATATAATTAGAGCCCTATTAATATGAAATAAGAATTTATCATCAACTTACTATTTATGTTCATCCTATATTTGGAGAAATAAGTATAAATTATAAAAAAGTTAGAATCTATTCAGCTACATATCTGTCAAATATGACAAATGCTCACATAAGTTCCACCAAGAACAACTTCGCCATCATCGTGAGGTATCGCGTATGTTATTTCTCCTCCATTAGCCGCTTTTGTGATTATGCGTAAACAAACATTGTAAATTTAAAATTTAAGGAATCAAAAAAAATAACCTAAACACAACTTTCCATATTCACCACGCTTAAAAAAAGCCCAATTAATATATGAACGAGGCAATTGCGCAATAACAGTTTGACCCCTCGCTGCGTAGACGTTTGGGTCTTCAACTCCCCCTAATGTTCTGGCATGAATACCTGAACAATTGATAACAATGTCGGTTTCGCTTTTGATACATTCATTTAAGTGTGAAAATAAATTGACGCGTTGCGTAGTGCCACCCAACGAGGTGAAAGTATTGAGAAGGTAGCTAAGGTAGGTTAGTGGATTAATAGAAACTTGTAGAGAATAATCATCCCGGTCAGTCATGAAAAGATTGAAATTATAAATAAAGAACTTTTTTGATAAATTACTTGATTTGTATGTGATTCCAAACTCAACGCCAATTGGCAGCTCTTCTTTTCTTAAATGTCGATACTAATTAACAATGAAATGAATTTAAATAATAAACCTTATACTTTGAGCATAATCATAAACTCTTTACCTCATGACATAATGTCTTGAACCACGGATCAGAGAAATCTTGTGGAAATTTCTCCCAATATTCGAATTCATCAATAATCATAATTCCTGTTTCATTTTGTGGTACTTTAGCAAGCTTCCAAAGATGGTTGTAAGTTATTCTATCAAATTCTTTTAGATAATTCAAAACGTTAATAAAGTACTTTAGTATGCAAGTAAAAATTGTCCAAATAACTTCTCATACCTTGTTGTCTAGTGTCATCTTTTGTAGCATGGCTTCTCCAGTGAGCACCGGCCCTATAACATAAGTAAATGCCAATTTTTTTTAAGTACTTCAATGTGATATTAAAACTTATGAAAACATATTTACCAAGGACTTGTGTATTCTCCAGATAAATCCCCTGGAAAATGTTTAGCGACAATGTGAACTTCAAACCCTTTTTCTTGCTGTAGGAGCAAAGTAGCCGTTGATAGTCCTGCAATACCTGCGAATTTTTGGACGAAACTGTCAACCTTCCGAAATTTTATTAGTAATTGTGGCATTTCAAGTAGCCTTTCCTACCAGCGCCAAGTACAACGACACGTTTGTTCGACATCTCTCGAATTTACAGTTTATAGAAAACTGTTCAACAAGTGTATCGTTTTTTTTATCCAAAATTTCTTTTTGGAAAATCATATATGTAGTACTATTTCATGCCTTTTTTTGTTCATATGAAGATGTTTATCAGTTACTATTTTCACTTTTTTTTTTTTTTTTTTTTTTTTTTTTTTTACCATTTTCATATATAATTTTTTTTTTGATCCATTTTTTTTTTTGTAATACAATTTGAAATATTTTTAATATTTTAAACAAGCTATTTAAAGAAAACAAAATCGAACAATTTTTAAGCAAATTTATAGTATTAAGTATAAGGTATATTAATATTTCATATAATCACCACGTAAATAAAAAAAAAATAATGTCGATCATAAGTTGTTTTTCGAATATATCTTGTATTAGGTCATCAATAATGATCATATTCAGTGTGTGTTTTTTGAGCGTGTTTAATGTTAATTGTGCTTATTTATACTATTGGTTAGATATTATTGTGTTACAATAATTTTTTTTTGAAAATGCATTTTGCCGATCGGGGTTGAGATCAAAAGAAACATTCATCCATTTTATTAAAATATAAAATTTTTGTTTTTGTTAATGCTTTTATTTATCTTTATATAATAAAAATAAATTGAAAAAACTGCTTCTAGAAAGAAATATCTGAAATATAATACAATAATAAAAATTATAAGGTTCAGTTCCTCGATATCAAATTTGAATTTTCTCAGTACAAACGGGGTTGTTTCAATGCCCACCTCTTGCCTTTTTGGGTAATTTGCCTTTGGGATATGGTTACTCTTTTGATCACAGGATGACATTTAAATAATCAATCTCTGATTGAACATGTACAATAAAACTTTATTTTCGTTTTTTAGCAGAAAAAAAGGAAAAAATTTTTTTTTTAAACGGTTCTTCTCAAAACTGAAAGACGAAATCTACCCAATTAAATTCCTCGAATATTTCGCTATTTTGATATAACAAAAAGGCTACTTCAATTATATCAATAGCCGACTGATATTACACAAGCCTTTATACTTTCCAATTTCATTTGAAAATGGTTTCACGAACAATCAATAAAAAAAATATCATTGGTCCTTATTCACGCAAAAATGTAAAAATTACCATTTATCGCAATTTGTGTTTTTATGAATATGTACAACAAACATTTTATTGAATTATTATTCATGGGTTCACCCCGTTTAAAATACACAACTTGGACATACAAAGCAAAGTGAGTCAATCCAATATGACTTTCATTTTATGCGAAGAATGTGAACAAGGCATTGACGCGACGACTGGTTGGTGTACACCATGTAACGCCAAACACTTTGAAAATAACTTCCCTAATTGGACAAGTGAGAATGCCGAAATAGACGAGTTTATTCGTAACTCTCAAATAACCGCCAAGCGTCACGAATGTGTGTTCGAATGGGTTGACTATTCTAAATTTAAATTACTCCAAAGGGTCGAATTTTCTAGAAACAATAAAGCTTATTGGGAAGAAGGGCATTTGTTAAGGTGGGACGTAAAATCGAATAAATGGTTTCGGCATGGTGAGCAGTGGGTTAAGTTGGTAACTAATTATTCTGCCGAAAAACACTTGGGTCCACGGGTCCTTAAACTGGTAAGATTACTATTTAAACTCTCTCTCCATTTTTGAATAGTATCACTCATTATCTTTAATTTTACAATAATTCAAGGAGTCTGAATTTTCGATATCAAACTCACCATCAATGAGACTGATTTATGGAGTCACGCGTAACCCTATAACAAAAGAATATGCTGTAATTGAAAATTTAATGGACCAATGTCCTTCTTGTGGTCAAAAATGGATGTCTCCCCGATGGTGTCGCGGTTGTAATTCCGAACTTTTTAAATCTGAACGTTCAAATTGGACAAGTGGTAACTCAGAAATCGATGACTTTATTTATGAAGCACAAACAACCGCTGAATTTCCTGAACAGGTCTTAGAATGGCTCCCAGAAACCCAATTTACGGAATTTAAGTTAATTGGTAAAGGTGGCTTTGGTAGAGTTTTTAAAGCTTACTGGGAAAAAGGTCGTATTTGCAAGTGGGACTTCATTACGAATAAATGGGAACGAAGCGATCCGATGTGGGTTGCCTTAAAAAGTGTAGAGAAGGGAGGTGAATGTATTAGTGAGTTTCTTGAAGAGGTAAAGCGTCGTGTTCACATCCTAATTTTATTTTAACTGCAGATCATTTCATTCACAATTTATCGTATTTCAATTAGGTCAAAGCTATGTATCAATGTCTTAAAATTAACTTGGGCTCTTTAGATTGCTACGGTATAACACGAAATCCTGCCACGCAAGATTATCTAATAGTCATGCGATTTGTCGAGTACGGAGATTTAAGAGCCTACCTATCCTCTACCTTTGCCACTAGTAGTTGGAAAGATCGTCTCGACAGGCTTTGGAGCCTCTCAATTGATCTCCGTAGCCTTCATCGGTCAGGCCTCGTGCATCGAGATTTACACGGTGGGAATGTGCTTTTTGGCAATAATAGGCGTAGCTTTATTGCCGACCTTGGTTTAACTTGTAAGGATGGTCAAACTGAAACTGGAGATATCAAGGGAGTCTTACCATACGTTGCTCCAGAAATTCTTCATCGCAAACCCCATACAAAATCATCGGATATTTACAGTTTTTCCATCATCATGTGGGAATTTACTTCCTCTCGGCCTCCTTTTTTTGAAATGATGTACGATTATGTTTTGGCTCATAAGATTTGCGGAGGGTTAAGGCCACCAATAATTAAAGGGACACCGGAATGTTATGCTCAATTAATGAAGCAATGTTGGGATGCTGACCCAACTAAACGTCCTACCGCTCAAATTTTGACTGAAGCTTTAGAGAAATGGGCCATAATTCTTTCAAAGGAAAAATCAAATGATGACGATGACGACGAAGTTAATATAAGGAATCAATTTAAATTAGCCGAGTTGGAAAGACAAAAAAATCCATTCCCTGTCGTACCGTTTTCGGAAATTAATACACGCCCTTTGACTAGTCGTCTTCTCCCAACGATCAATCTTCACACAATTACAGAAGGATACCAAACCATACAATATGATCTCGAAATTTCGGATGATTTATAAGCATATTTATTATTTATATTATATATATTATAACCACATTTTATTATTATTATTAAATGTTTAAAATCCAAGCAATGATACTGAGAATCAAAATTTTTTTTTTAAAGCTTAACAGAGATACCGGTAATTTCAAAACAATAATCAACTAAATAAAAAAAGAATTGTTAATTCATTTGTTAATGGATTACATAATATGTCGATTTTTATTACATTACCTAATATGTCAATATTTATTACATTACATAAACATAATCGACAATGAATAATAAGTTAATCGTTTATGACAATGTAGATCACACTAAATTTAATGTTTGTTTTCCATATTAACTATTTTGATTGAAATTCTGATATAAGAAAATAAATTATATATATAAGCAAACCTCATTTGTAGAAAAAATCAACCTGAATTACTAGTAATATTTCCATATACAGTCGGACCTATATATACCGACATTCTATATACCGAAATACTTCAGATCATATAAACATCGGTATACAGTAAATTTGATATAACGATATTTTTTAAAAATTCCCGACATATCGTATACTATTAAAATTGGTTATAAAATATTGGTTAAATGTATAATTATGTAATATATATATTTAATTAATTATTAAATAATTACTAAATAATAATTATTCAAATTTAGATGTTTTTAAATTGTAAATAAAATTATTTTAAATATAAAACATCCATTATAATATAAATTTATAATTATATTAAAAATAAAATTTTATGTTAACTACTCAAACTTTACCTTTTCCCGAATAGTGACTGATCTGACGCAATGGAATACAGTGTAGCACAAAACAATTTGTACATAAAAATTACGTAGTTACTCCTTACTCTCTCACTCTCTTCTTACTCAATATTCATAAATATCTTACTCATTATATTCATAAATTTTTATAATAAGAAACATCAAAATGGCTAACTTTGTTTCTACTACTTTCGATAACCTCGATCTTTATGTTTTATCTTCAACGAAGGAAGAAATGGACATTTTATCTTCAACTAAGGAAGAAATGGACGCTAGAAAAGGTAACTTATAGCTTTGTTACGAAAAATAAGAAAAAGGAACTTCGTAAAATATTTTTTTATAGATCTGGATGTTTATCGAAGGAATGGCGCAGAACAGAACCGCAAAGAAAGTTTACAAGCAATTTCTTCTGCAATACAAGTAAGTCTCAAAGGTTTGGCTTCCTTTTATGTATGACCTGATGTTGATACCTTTTCTTTAATGCACATCAGAAACAATCGAGTTTCCAACAACCCCAATGGTCCACAACCAATGATTGTAAAAGTGAATGGGACCACGATCGTCATAATTACCCCATGGGATGCCCTCAGCTATCTCTACACAATCAACTTTCCCCTCCCAAAGAAAGTCCCCAAGACAAAAAAACCGAAGTTCACATATCTGAGCCAAGTGAAATTCCTTTTTCGGCATCTCGACCAAATTCGTCGGTGGATAATAATAATAAGCGGTCGCAGAAGTCATCCAACAACGATCAATGTCTCTTGGAATTCGAACCAGGAAAAAATTATAGCCGTTGCGTTTGGTGTAGCAATTTCAGCTCCCACCGAGGAAAGAAAGAAACAATTAGCTTCAATCCGAAGAGAGGACGACCAACATCTGTTTCCTCGGGAACAAAATGGAAATGTGATTCCAAAGATATCAAATTGGGCATTCGGGAACTGTGCGGAAACGAATGCTTGGATATCTTTATGTCAGTTCAGACCAGATATCCCAATAAAGTCTCGAACGATATCAATTCGCTCGAAAGAAATAATACCGCCATGCGAGAATTGCCAATCTTGTCAGAATTGGTTGAGGCGACCAAGAATAATTGTGGGTACCGTGAACTCCAACCAGACCATGAATGGTTAATAGATCAGGAAAATAAGGAATATTTCAATGATGCATATGGTATTACCGACATTAATCCGTTGCTTGAAGATGAAGATGGGATGTCTGTTCTGTTTTTAGATAGCCGTGGTATTCTTTTTGAATGGTGCGAACTTACACAAGACATGTATATATTAGGAATTAATGAAATGGAAGGTTTTGCAAACACTCTCTACCATCCGGAGAAGAAGTGTATCATTATAAAAGACACTGGTGAGATAATACCTGATGAGGAACTCGAACGTCAAGCAGAAGAGTCAGCAAAAGCTGAGTATGCTAATATAGTAAAAGCGAAATAACTGTATCTTTGTATATATAAAGCTTCTTCCTCCTCTTTAACTATGTCTTGTGATAAAGCTTACATCTTTTTCTTTTGTCTTGAATAAGTTTTAATTTACCTGCTAGATTAGAAATATAACCTATGCGATAGTTATAAAATAAATATATTTTTTGCTATATGTGAGAAGGTTGGATTTTAAATGTAACATAAAATTATTATGATCAACAAAATAAACACATTATAATGCGTAGCCCAATTTGGTTGGGCAAGACTTTATTATATTTTTCGTAAAGTATTATATGAGAAAGTGCAAGTAAAAATAAATGTAAAAATGATGAAGAAGCAGAGTTTCATTAAATCAAGCTCAGATGACATGATGGATGATAATTTTTATGTAAAATATTCAAAAGTTCGTTAGTATATTTTTTTTTGCTAAAAAAAATCTTTTATTAATACATGCGAAAAATAAATACAAATGTTCGGGACTTTGCCCGGGATACATCATGACGTCTATGATAATTACGGCTAATTATTTTTTGAACGATAACCCTCTATTCTAACTCTCTTCCTTTCTGGCTCTTCTTCCGCACATGCCCTATCTTTTAACAAACCTACAATAATCCCCAAAACCTTTCTCACACTTTTACACAATGACTGGTATTCTTCTGAGTTTGAGTCTAAAGCCTTCTTTGTAAATTCGATCGAATACGCAATATCACTTGCTTTAGATATTTTTCCGGGGCTATATAAAAGGAAATGCCAGTCCCGACCTGTTGTGACGATATCATAGAGGTAATCGAAATCATCATCACCCCACTTTCTCTTCCTCTTTTTCGTCTCGCATGCGCTCTTAAGCTGTTTGATATTCTGAGCGATGCTCCTATCCATATATTTCCATAGTTCGTGTTAGTGGTATATTAACATAATTGCGAGTATAGCTGGAATAATAAAAAAAATACCTTGATTGCATGATCGACCCGGCCTCGGCTTTCTTCACCAATTATTCCATAATGAGGACGCATACTAAGCTCCTTGTTTGTTATATCCATGACAATATGGATGTAAGCGTGAAGCAGTGCTACGACATACTCATTACGCATGGCCTCCAAGCTATCCGGCTGTAAAGTTCCGTAGGAGCGCAACCTACCCAAAATTTCTTCCATACAACGCTTGAAGATCTTATTATCATTTTGAATCTCATGAATTTGCGGTTCAAATTAAAGGGATGGAATCTATACCATCGGAGTCGAGACCATATTCCTCACTCAAGCTAAGGTACGAGGAGAACGCTTTTAATGTTTTATCCTTACAGTCCTTAGCGAAGTCCGCAAGCCTTAACGCAGGTCCAGCCTTCATATTTAAATCTCTGAAATCTTGCTTGGTCATTTTTGAGAAAATCACAGCCAGCAACCTCTTCCTCTTCTAAAATTTTGATAGCCGTCTCGCTAAGACCTAAGCCCTGCAAAAATTCTATAAGCTTGACCGTATCATATTTTTTTAATTTCGTCAGCCAGCGAGACCGTCTCATTTCCAGCAACAGAGGTGGAGATGGAAGCTAGTGTTACGTTTTTATAAGGATATTTGGTTCGGACAAAAAATAGTGTTACTTTCCGGAGTGAGATAAAAATTTATTTCTGTTCGGGAATACTGGGCGTTAATATAGCTTTTTATGTTGCATCATTACACGTGACCCATTAATACTTTATTAATTAATAAAGGCTGTTCTGTGCTACCATGAAATCTATATTGTACTCTTTTTTTTTTTTTTTGTTTAATAAAAAATTTCCTTTTACAAAAAAAAATCTCCTATTTTGGCTACTTGTGCTGCCTTATCGTCCGGCCATTTTCTTACCTCTTACCTCTTACCTCTTACCTCATACTCATTATTGTAATTGTCAAATAACATTGACTGTATCATGGGTATTTCATTGACGTGATGCTATATAGTAAGAGGTAGGAGGAAAAGGCTTTTACCTCAACGGATTGAAGTTGATTTTTTCTCAAAAAACAAAAAAAAAAACTTTTTTCATGGTAATGTGATTGTAATGTGATAAAGAGGTCTAAATTTTATATAGTTAATTAAAATAAATATTCAGATGATTTCAAACAAAATATAATAATATGCATGGGAAAATTTTTTATATTAAAATTCTTAGAAAAATATTCGGATCAAAATACTCTAAATTCGGGTTGTTTTATTTCAATTGACAAAAATAATATTCAAAAAAAAAACTTTAATTTTTCACATGAAAAATATTTCTCATGAAAAAAATTTTTAAGATAAATATACCTGTTTGTCATTTTTTTAATAAAAAAAAAAATTCAACAAAGATGCCTTGTAATCTTAATACCATTTGCTACATAGACCAACATAACAAAACGGCTGAAAAATCAAAGTTTATAGCTAATGTTGTAGAAATAATTAGTTTTCAACATCAAAATATCAATATTTTCATCCATATTACAGCTTTTTATCCAAAAAATACAACTCAAGATACTGACTTAGAAAGGTTTAAGAAAGAAGATATTATTCAAGTTCAAGGTAGATTTTCGGTAACTGAAACAGATGTTGATGATAGTAAGATTAAACTTATTAAAGTAAAAAATAAAAAATAAAAAATAATAAAAAAATAAAATGCATTTAATTATTATTAACAATAAATAAATAAAATAGGTCATAACATCCAACATATCTGTACTCAGTCTTGATGAAGAAGATCTTTCAAAATCTCCATTATCCGTTATATGAGTTGGTATAGTATCGGATAATCCAGAAGTTAGTGATGACAAAATTACCTTAAATATCACTGCTAAAGAATATCTCAATGATCAGCTTAATAGCTCTCTTTTGTTTAATTTATACTACTTTCCAGAAGAAACTCACTTACTTTCAATTTCTACAAAAGCTTTGCGCAGTTCTTCTTTATATATTACTGGTCATTTATCATTTATTGAAAACTTTTTACTTATCAAAATTACACAAATTAATTTTATAGAATCATTCTCCTCACTATCATATAAACCTTCTAATTATGCTTGGAAAAAAAAGCAGATAAATGAACCTTCTTCATAGGCTACTAATATAACTAAATCTATTTTATCAAATGCAACAAAATCTAAACAAAAGGGAAAACGTAAAGAACCATCTTTAACAGAAATTCGCAAAATTTCGAAACTTGCTTCTTTAGCTTTATCTCCTCTGACTTCAGATGTTAACATTCAAGATGAAACTCAACCAACTTCACCCGAAAAAAGGATGAATAATCCTTTCTTTAACTTTTTTATTTTTTCTTAGTTATTTCTCTATTTTATATAACAAAAGTTTCTAAATTTATTTTTTTAACCATTTTAAAACTTGTAATCTAATTTTCAACATATTAAATATATACATAAAAAGAAAAAAAAATGTAATTAACTATTTCACTTACTTTTTTTGCTAAAAAAAGATTTTATAAAAGCAAAATTTTCACCTTATTTTACTTTTTTATTTTTATCTTTCAAATTAAATAAATAAAAAAATTCTAAATATCAAATCTGATTACTAATATCCTATTGCTTATGATTTATTTTATTATATTAAAAAAATTACAAACTTTAACTATGATTATACTCACAAAGAGAATAAAAATAAATAAACTTTTTTCTAATAAATAAAATCCATTCCTTCACATTAATTATCAAAATTCTTTCAAAATTTCTCAAAAAAAATGTCATCCCATGTATTTTGAATTCTAAAAATAGAACAACTACAAGAAAATGAAACTACAGTCAGACCTCTATATAGTCACACAATTGGTTCTGCCAAAATTAGTAATTATATAAAGGTGTGACTGTAAAAAGGATACCTTTATATAATCACAGCTATATGATAATCAAATATATACAGTCAACTCTTTCAACAGCGAGTTTTGATATAACGAATTTTACAATACAACGGATTTTCAGTGTCAGACAGATTTTTAAATATAAAAAAACCCTTACTA